CGCGGGCGCAGGCCTGCCAGCACCTCCAGGCACAGGCCCTGTGTGTGCCCGGCCTCCTGCCAGACCCGCCAGGCTGTGTTCTCACCAGCACGCAGGCGACGGAGGCCCACGCTCACACAACGAGTCCCAGGCCCCACCTTCGTCTGTTCTGCAGGGACAAGCCCGGCAGGCGGAGGGCAGGCCTCGTGGTGGGCGGGAGGGTGTGTGGGAGGCGTACGGAACGGGAGCGGGCCACAGACAAGAACTGTCTGGTCCCACGGACACACGATAAAGACGAGGACAAGGACAAGGACAAGGACAAGGACAGCAGGAGCAAGTGAGGACCCCAATCGCCGGGAGGCCACACGCCATCCACCATCACCTGGCAGGCAGGTGAGGGGTGGGCAGCGGGGCTGCGGGCACGGCCAGGAGAGGGCGTGTGGCGGGCCCAGGCGGGAGAGGGAGACCGGCAGGGGGCTCCCGCGGACAGCTGCTCAGAGGAAAATGACGAGAAGCGAGAGGCATGTGAAGGGCTCGCTCATCGCGGCCACTGAGCGCCAGGAGGGAAGGAGACGAGGCTGGGGAGGGGCTGCCTCAGGACGCCCTAGGACACGGGTGACTCGGCGCCCGGCACACGGGGCGCGGACGTCAGTGCAAAGCAGCTTCTGCAGGCCCGTCGCCGAGGGGGTCCCGGTGGCAGAAATGCTGCCATCTAAGCTGGTTCAGCTCCCATCTCCTCCTCGATTGGAGGTAAACAGAAGCTTCATCACATAGAAATGGCAACATTAGCCAAGCTTTAGAGAGGAGACTGGCCTTTTAGAGAAAGGACATTTAACACGCTAAGTGCCAAGCCGGGTTGGTCTTCCTTTCCGTTTAGCCCGTGATGTCCGATTTCACCGATATGCTGGCGGCCGGAGAGCTGAGTAAGGTTGCGATAAGACTGCATGTACATCTTCAGACATATTTCTGTATGTATTTATCGCAACCTGTACTCTGTGTTCTTTTAGAAATGCTTTCTCTTCGGTCAGTTGTCTGTGGTTCGTGTTCCAGTGCAGTTTAACAATTTTTCTTTACCCGTAACAGTGACAATGTCAGTAGAAGAAGCGCGTAAAGCGATTCAAGTGAAATTAGTTTTCCTAAAAACGTCATTCTTTTTTCGTCATCAGAGGATGAGGATGAGGCTTTTGAAGAATGGCATGACCCAGAGGTAACCAACCAAGGACTATGCCTTTCACCTATCCGTCTGGCTTTAGGGTTGAAGACTTGAATGCAAAATCATGTGCAACAGTAGAGAATTCTTATGAACTGTTTGTGCCTAATGAACTGTTTGAGGATATTGCCAAAGAAATGAACTTATATGCGTCGCAAAAACTAGGGGCTGAAAACTCGCAGCGTTTGTGCAGGTGGACTGTGGCAAACAGAAATGAAATGAAAAGATTTTTTGGGTGATTCTATGGATGGGACTAGTTAGACGACCATCTTTACGTTTATATTGGTCCCATGATCCTGCATGTATGCAAACTTTCCCGAAAAAAATGTTAAGAAACAGATTTGAAATATTATTACGAATGCTGCATTTTTCAGACAATAGGGAGACAGATGTTTCCAATTGTTTATGCAAAATAGAACAACTAATAGATAACATGGAAATAAATTTCAAAAAATATTATGATCCATCTGAAGCTCTACGTATCAATGAATCTTTGATACCATTTCGTGGCCACATAATATTTAGGCAATATTGAAAACACGAACGCCACAAATGCGGTATTAAATTATTTACGTTGCGCTGCAGATCTGGGTACACATATGCTTTTTGTGTATATGCAGGGAAAAGTTTAGAAAAAGAAAATACAACACCAACTAATGTTGTAATGTCTCTTTGTAGAGATGTATTCCACAAGGGACACAGGTAGACAACTGGTTCACGAGTTTAGATTTAGCATATAAATTACTCGATAATAATCCTCATTTAGTAGGAACATTATGTTCAAATTGACGGGGAAGTCCTCATGAAGTAACGTCAAAGAAATTAAAACGGAGAATTTATAGCAAAAGAGAACAAAAAAGGAATAACCATTTTAAAATGGAAAGATAAGCAGGACATCTTATTTCTTTCAACAAAACATACGTGAGAGATGGTGAATGTTGAGAACAGATCAGGTCACCACTTGAAACCAAAAACTGTAGTGGATTATAATGCAGGAAAAGCAGCAGTTGACATATGTGATCAAATGAGTGCCTATGATAATCCGGTACGAAAACCCATGAAATGGTATAAAAGCTAGCCTTTGAGCTCCTACTAAATACTGCTGCTCTCAATGTTTGTATTTTATTTAAAAATAATAGCAAGAAGAATATGAGTATCACAGAATTTCAGAAGCAATTAGCTGTCCATCTAACAAATTGTTGGGATGAAGAAATTCCAAGTAGCAGTGCTGTAAATAGACTCAAATATCTCGTCACAAACTGCAAAGAAAACCTGGAAGAGTGGCTAGAGCTCGCGGATATTGTAAAAAATGCCACGAAGGCAACGCAGCACGATTTGGAGGAGATGCTGCCAGGAAGCTGACAAATCAGTTGTAACACCTGTGGGACCTGCACAGGACAGGACAACCATTTTTGCGTAGACCGTGTTGTAATAACATTCATTAAAATTCTTTTTGGTAACAAGTAATATTTAGGTGCATTCCTTTATGATCTCCAAGTTATTTAAAGTTTATTAACAGAAGAATATAATTTTTAAATTGTGTATTGTCAGTCATGAGGTCCGGACATGGCGCTTAACGTGTTAAGATGGAACACAATACATATCTACGTACATATGTTCTTTTAACTATTTTTTAAAACTTTCACTTACGAATCACAGGCCTGGGAGCACTGCGAGATTCCAAGTCCTGCTCTTTGCATCGTCTCAGCATCCAGGGAGGCTGCGCTGACACCCCTTTCCTCACGAGGGAAGCCAGGAGCGCCGAAAGAGCGGCGTCTGCCGGCTCCGGCCCTCCCTGCCCAGCAGTCCCTGCTGCTCCTGTCACATCCCCTCCTGTCCCTCCTGACTGACGCCCTGCAGTGCCAGGAGGGCTCGGTGCTGTGGGCCCTGTCTCCAAGCTGGAGCTGCGGGAGCCGTCCCCATGGTCCTCGTCGGGAGTGGGTGGGGCCAGGGGGGCTACTCACCGAACCACGCCTGCTGGTCCCCTTGAACCTCGATGGCGAGGCCGAAGTCCGCCAGCTTCACGGCCGCCCCCTTGGACTTGCTGGCCAACAGCAGATTCTCCGGCTGGTTTAGGAAGAAGGAGAAAGTCGGGAGCCCATCGTGAGTGACTGAACCAACAGCGTTTTCTGCGATCGGGGAGCAACCGGCACGCGCTGGCGACGCGGCTGGAATGGATGACCTGCATGGTGTGGGTCAGATGGACGCACGGACGCACAGGACAGACCTGCGCAGGAGGGAGAGTGCTGCCCGCTCCCAGGGCACGCGGGGCCCGGCCAGGCCACAGACAGTGGCTCAGAGCCTGCAGAGCAGACACTCAGCAGAAGGAATGTGGCAAAATGATACCAAGAGTTGGACCAGTTTACACACATGGTTTTGGGGTCTGTGTGCATGTGGCACAGGTGATTTTTGGGGTCTCCCAGGCAGGTGGTACACGAGTTTTGTGTTTATTTTCCAGGGAACGGGTGCGTGTGTTGTGTGCTTGGCGCAGGGAGCTTCCAGCAGAAGCGCGTGCCGACAGCGTGCAATCAGGTCTGCTGCCACCAGCACACTCGGGCGAGGCCGGCATCGCTGTCCCCAACTGCTGTCGCCGTCAGCACGCGCTCAGGCAGCCGTCTGTGCCAACACCCAGTGCCGCCCCTGGCCTGGCACACATAGGCCTCAATGGCAAAAAGCAGAGCGACTCGATGCATTGTGGGATTTATCACACACACAGCTTGTTCCTAAAATACTAGACACACATACGCACAAACACGTTCTCTGAAGTTTCATCCACGTATGGTTCTCAGGAAAGTGGAACTGGTTTTGGATCTGTTCAAAGTGTGGAACAATAACGTGATACACGCACCACCATGTGAGCAAGACTGACTATGCCCCCCGCCCCGCCAAGGATGCATTTCCTTTCTGCTCATAACTTCAATTTTTTCCCATGAAATAGTATTTAAAATCCTCCCAAATCTCCAGAATTACTACCTTCATTAACATCTCTTTGTCCCTCTATATCATCTATTGATCCACCCCACCCACCCCACATCCACCATCCACCCACCCACCCACCA